CACACACACACACACACACACACACACACACACACATGAATCCGTATAGCTTTGTTCATTACCCAGAGCGAGCACTAGCTAATGCAACTCTAATAAAATTGAAATATCTTAGCGGGAGACCTGTGTTCGCGCAGGCCCCATATCTGCCATATCTCAATATTTTGTTGACATATTTGTTGAAATTATACTTTTAAACAGGAGAGGACATATTCCTTGCGGCAAATATACGTACAAATGTAATCCATATACCTCTGTTTAAAAATAATAGGGAGCCCTAGCTGACACAGCTCTAATAAAATTGAAATCAGCCAATAGATGGCGACATGTCTCATATACGATAATATTTATATGCAGCAACATGTCCAGCCTTTATCAAATGTATGAAATAGTACTTTGGTGAAATTGTGATTTAAATGTAGAGAGTATATATCCGCCAGTCACTTGAATAATCATAAGGCGCTTAGTCGCATTATATTTTACGTGTAATTTAACGGGAGAGCTACGTTTAAGCTGCCTAGTCACCCCACATTTATCGGTAACGTGGTGGTAGACCTGTGTTCGCGCATGCCCAATATCTGTCAAATGAACCAATATTTTATTGAATTATAGTTTTAAAATGCAGAGTAAATATTCGTCGCAGTAACTTGACATGAAAAATAAGTCCCGCTGCCGCTCTTTAGTAAAGGTAGCGAGCTCTAGATGATGTAATGCAAATATACTTTGAATAAATTGGTCAATAGATGGATATATCCACCCTACATGATGACGTATGTAAAGCGTTTATCTAATGACAAACAGCATAGGAAAACACAATTGATATTATAATCGCTTTTTATTTGCTTCAAAAGAATGCAGGATAAGAAGCAAGAATGCGGCGAATCCGGACTTGTATCGTTTGCCGACGGGAACTTGCTGGAGAGCTCCCTCCTTCACGCGGGAGTCTCCTGGAGCGGAGGCAAAGGCCGCCTCCTTGCGGGCGGCGAAGTCAAACTGACCGATGTCCACGTACGGTCCGGCGAAGGTCGGAACTCCGAAGTTGCCCGCGCGAAGCGTTCCGAACGTGTTGATGTCGAATTCGTCCCCGAATCCGGTCCGGAATACGCCGGTCTGGGCGACGGCTGGAACGACTCTTCTCTGTGGGCCACCGATGATCTGCCTCACCTAGAAACACGTCAAGTTTTGCATAGTTGATCAACGTTAAATGATTACATAGCTGATCATGTAGTTATTTATCGATATACTGCATTTCAATATATATATATTTATATATATATATATATATATATATAGATATATATACATATATATTTATCATATCTCGATCCTAACTACTAATCCTTATACACTGCCTATACGGAGAAGTGCCCCGCGGTGTTCTCTAATCGCCCTGCACTCCACCACAGGCCTGTCGCAGTGCCTGCTGCGAAGAGAAGGACCACCTAAGAAGTCGTACTAGCTCACCTGCTGAAGCCTAGTAGTTGGAACCTGACCAACCGACATCGTCCTGAAGAGGGCGCCAGTGGTACCTGACGCTCCGCCATGGAAACCGGGGCGTGCTGCGTTGCTAACACGGAATCCCGCGCTGCCGCGTGCACGGCCAGCAGCGCAGTACTGGCCGCCTGAAGCAGACGCTAGCGACAGCTTGACCGACGCGCAGGCGCGGCGACCCTGAAAGTAGGGACAGTCTTGTAATAGCGTAGTAATGGTCTTCTCCGTTGTAGCCTCGAGGGGATGACGCGCCCGGCGGCGACTCGGCACCTATATAACGTAATCATCTTTTTATCAGTCAGCAGATATCCAGGCGGGAGCAGCAAGCGGCGCACAAAAAAAGGCGGCGGCGACGCCAGCACCGCCATCAGGATCGATACAGGCAGCTTCATGCTGAAAACGAAGCGCAGAATCTACTGATAGTTATTATATTTATTCTCACTTTCTCTTTCTCTCTCTGCTCACTTTCTCTCTCCTCTCGTCTCTCTCTCTCTCTCTCTCTCTATATATATATATATATATATATATATTGTGACGGCGGCGGTGAATAGAGGTCCGGAAATAGTACGGGCCGAAAAAGTAGCGAACCACCGAACCGCCGAAACTACCGAATACGGAAACACGCGAGGTAGTAGAAACAGTCGAGAGTGTGGCTGTCGCGCGCAGTGGACGCGGCGCGAATAATGCGTAGGCAGGGGACTAGCAATCGCAGCTACGGATATAATGGATTCGCAGTGTAAATAGTGTTGTGTAAGAGTTCGCGCAGAGTGTTGATTTAGTGCCGGCTGCTACAGCGAATAGTTTGTTTTTGGGGCAAGCGAGCGGCGAACAGTTAATAGACGTGGAAGGACGGCGGCTGAAGAAAAGGAGCCAGAAATGGCGGGAAGGATATGTATAATAGAGAGGTTCTTCTGCGCCTAATTTATGTAGTAGTAAGAAGCTTATGCGGGATGGATAAAGACCTGTATTCTGCGTATCCGGACAAAACTTACCTCACTGGAACAATTAACTCCACCGCGACAATTAACCTCCCCCCGTCCAATTACCCACCAGGACAATTACCCGGCACAGACAATACACAGCGGGGCGCCCCAGATATCACCGCACAGCCGGACGATTACCCCACCACGGACGATTACCCACCAGGACGATTACCCACGCAGGACGATTTACCACCAGACGATACCCACCAGGACGATTATCCCCCACTAGGACAATTACCCCTAGGACAACTACCCCGGACAATTGCCGCACCGGGACAATTACCCACCAGGAGCAATTACCCACCAGCGACAATTATCCCCCCCCCCCCGGACGATTACCTAGCCCCCCACAAGCACAACCGTACAGTAATGATGTGTCATCTACGGACCAAACTTCATGATTTTTCATAATTCTCGACTATCACATTCGCCGACACGTGCCGAGGTATTTTGACTTATTTGCGACATTTTTCCGATACCCGATTTGAAGTTCATAATCGGCAAGTGTCGCCTTCACACTGCGCATCAGCAGCGGAGACCGAAGCGCAGCCACCAATGCACACGTACAATGTCTAGACATTTTCGGGGTCGCTTGAATACAATGAAACATCCAGCGGCGTAAATGCCGCTACGCGAGGGTGGGATGGTCGGCGAATAGCCATCACATACTAGGCCACAATGCACAAGCCCCAATTATTTACGCACACGGGTTGCGCGCGATTGCGCACGCACGAACATACCACACACACACACACACACACACAACACACACACACAGCACACACACAGCACACATCACATACAGCACAACACATATACACACACACACACACACACAACACACACACGCACACACACGCACACACATACACACAGCAGCATATACACACACATGCACACACATGTCACACACATACACACACAAACGAACAAACACACACACCACACAGCAAACACACACACACACACTATCAAACACGAGCGTACATACATTTATACATGCATACATACATGCGACGCACATGCCGACAAATTTGACAAACCGTACGTTTGGCACGTGCCGTAGGCATGTAAAATTTTGAAATATTTCAGCCATTTTTCTGCCATCTGAGGCATACTGACAGTGTGGGCCATATTCTCATGTCTGATGACACTATCTGAACCCTAGACTCAACCCTACAAGTTAGGATTCAAAACACTTTTCATGACTTTTCAGAGAGCGTACACAGTTAGGTTACTATAGTAATAATACATGTATTATTACAATTGTTATTTCTCTAAATGTATTATTACAATTGCAATTTCTCACAATTTCACGTGTTTTTGTATGTTTGCAAACCATACTTTTTGGCTATTCATTTTTCTCTCTCTTTTTTTTAAATCTCAGGGGTATATATATTTGTACAGGCCATCCCCCTCCTTCAAGAGCGGGGGGGTGCATCCCCCCATCCTCCCGGGATTTACGACCCTCCTGGCACACACGCACAAACAGTTACATAACATAACATACATGGCCAAGAGCAAGATCATTTGGGGATACAACATTTCCGTCATTATAAGAGGTAGAGGCCGACTCCCCCCCGTCCCAATATCGACGCCGCTGTTCTCTAGAACACATGGGTAGCGCATTTCTCTCTTTTCCAGACATACATTATGTATTGCAGCGGACAAAAATTTACGAAGGGGGAATTTTTCCCTTATTGGAAGTGTTAGGTGGCGTAATGTCCTGGTGGCGTATTGTCCTGTGTGGGTAATTGTCTGGTGGCTAATGTTCCGGTGGGTAATGTCCTGGTGGTAATTGTCCTGTCGGTAAAAATTGTCCGGGTGGGTAATCGTCCAGGTGGGTAAATTGTCCTCGCGTGGGTAATTGTCCGGGGGTAATTGTCCGGTGGGTAAATGTGTCCAGGGGGTAGTTGTCCTAGAAATCCTGTATTTCTTGGCTTTGTTAAGGCAAGTTAACAGCACATGAGTTTGCAGGTTCAGGACAAATACCCCCAGACAATTACTCCGGACATTTACCCCCCGGACATTTACCCCCGGACAATCACCCCCGGACATTTACCCCCGGACATATAACCCCCGGACATTTACGCACGGACATTACCACCGCGACATTTACCCCACAGGACAATACCGCCCGGACATTTTACCCCCGGGACATTTACCCCACGGACAATTACCTCCCGGACATTTACCCCGGACAATTACTCCCGGAACAATTACTAACCCCGGACATTTACCCCCCGGACAATTACCCCGGACAATTTAACCCCCGGACATCAATTACCCCCCATTGCCTTTCACCCCCCGAACAATCACCCCGGACAATTACCCCGCCGGACAATTCCCCCCCGGACATTTACCCACGCCGCATTTACCCTGGACCAATTACCCCCCGCGACATTTAACCCCGGACAATTACCCCCCGGACATTTCCCCCAAAATTACCGCCCCGGACAATTACCCCATGCATTGCACACCCCGACATTCACCGCCTGAGACAATTACCCCTTGGACAATTACCCCCCGGACAATACCCCACGGACATTTACCCCCGGCTTTACCCTGCGGACAATTACCACCGGACATTTACCCCCGGACAATTACCCACAGACATTTACCTCCTCGGAGCAATTACCTCCGGAGATTTACTCACTTGGTGTTTATTATTTCATTGTTTGAATCAGTGATACAGCAGGAGGTCGAGCAGGAAGGAAAGAAGGTGGTAGAGGAGGAGGGGGAGAAGCGTGGGTAAAAGGTGGTGCGAGGAAGAGGAAGGAGAGGAGGCTGGAGGCAAGCAGGAGGAAAGGGAGAGGAGGTGAGGAAGAAGAGGGGAGAACGTGGGAGAACGTGGTGGAGGGATGAGGAGGGGAAGAAGGCTGGAGGAGGAGGAGAAGGGGCAGAATGGTGGAGGAGGAGGAGGAGAGGAGTAAGGGGAGGAGAGGAGAAGGGGAGGTGGTGGCAGAAGAAGGAGAGGAGAGGCAGGTGGACGGAGGAGGAATGGGGGTGAAACGTGTGGGAAAAGGTGGTGAGAAGGCGGGAGGCAGAAGGTGGAGGAGGAGGGGGGAGAAGGTGAGAAGGCAGGAGGGGAGAGGAGGGTAGTTAGAGGACGAAGGAGAAGGTAGCAGGAGGAGGAAAAGAAGGGTGGATGGAGGGGAGCGCGGAGAAGAGAAGAGGAGAGGAGGTGGAGGAGGAGGAGGAAGGAGGAGGGAAGATAGAAGGGTTGGAGAAGTAGAGAAGGGGAGGAGGTAGCGGAGGGCCACTGTAGTGGAGGTGGGGAGATAGCGTGTGAGAGGAGGAGGAGGCGGGAGAAGGAGGAGATGAGGTGGAGGAGGAGGAGAGGGAGAGGAGGGAGGAGAGGTGGAGGAGGAGGAGAGGAAGATGCGGGAGAGGAGGAGGGGGAGAACGTGGGGAGGAGAAAGGGAGGAGAGGAGTGGAGTGATGAGTAGAGAGGTACAGTGGCGGCCCTTCCTAAACCTCCTTCCTCCCCACCTCCTCTCATCCTCCTCTCCTCTCCTCTTCCCCGCACCTCATCTCCTCCTCCTCCTCCACCCCTCTCCTCCTCCTCCCCATCCTTCTTCGGCCACGTTCTCCCCACTTGTTCTCCCCGGCTCCTCCTCCTCCACTTCCTCTCTACTCTCCTCCACCTCTCCTCCTCTCCATCTCCTCCGGCCTCCACCTCATCTACTCGCTCCTCCCCCTCCTCCACTTTCTCCCCTTCTTTCCTCTCCTCCACCTTTCTCCTCTCCTCATCGCTCCACCACGTTCTCCCCACGTTCGACCTCTCTTCCTCTCGCACCTCCTCTCCTCCTCCTGCCCTCCTCCACCGTCCTTCCCCTCTCGCTCCTCTTACCATTCCACCTTCCTCCAGCCTCTCCCCTCTCACTCCCCACACTCTCTTCCCTCCTGCCTCGACCTCCTGCCCTGTATCACTGTTCAACAATGAATATAATTAAAAGACCAAAGTGAGTAAATGTCCGGGGGTAAATTGCTCGAGGGGTAAATGTCTGTGGGGTAATG